ACCTTTGTCCATGGAAGGTCCCTGCAAAATTTCATTGAAATTGGTTCAGGGGTTTTGGAGAAGAAGATTTTTGAAATTTTAGTCAATTTGACCCTTTTTGGCCCCGCCCCTCAGCCCCTGGGGGCTTAGGACTAAACCGGCAACTATTTTTGTTGACCTTTGTCCATGGAAGGTCCCTACAAAATTTCATTGAAATTGGTTCAGGGGTTTTGGAGAAGAAGTCGAAAATGTAAATTGTTTACGGACGCACAACGGATGACGGACGACGACGGACAAAAGGCGATCGCAATAGGTCACTTGAGACTTTGTCTCAGGTGACCTAAAAATTCTTATGACTCATTTCATAAATATCATATGAAATGGAATCTCATGTAAGATCCTAAATATATCAACCCTGCTATTTCAAATCAATACTATGTACCCTCCACCACTATAAATATCATGTGTCATGGTATCACAATACATTTGTGTCCATTCTAAATATTTGATTGGAATGTAATTTGTTGCATATTTGTTTGTACAGGACAACCTTTTATTCTAGTCATTTTTTTGAATCAAGTTGTCAAAATTGGAATGCAATTCAAAATTACGAAAGATCATCAACATTTTTCAGTACTTTTCAGCAAAGAGCAATAAATCAATATCTTATTTGTACTTTCAGATAAAGAATGGAAGTTGGGGTGCCATTATACATGTATTGCCCAAAGTTGGTGAAAGTTTATTGCAATGATCCTCTTATGGCCTAGGCATACACTGACACACACATATACCTTGGTCTATATCTATAATCCTGTCCAAATACAAGCTGTTTCTTCGTGACACTAATACAAGCTGTTCCTTCGTGACACTAATACAAGCTGTTTCTTCGTGACACTAATACAAGCTGTTTCTTCGTGACACTAATACAAGAAAAGGTTGTGGCATCATCTTTCAAAACAATAGGATTAATTCTGATCTAGGAGGAGTGTTTTACTTGATTTTTAACATGATTACAAACCTGTCACATGACACATGTCCTGCGCCACTTTAAAATTCTTTTTTGTGATTTGATAGCGTTCAGGAAACTCCAATGACAGGTCCATGTAGGGTTCATTGGTTTCTGATACGTTTTTACACTTCAGGCATGTGACCTGTAAATAAAACAACAATAACACCTTGTTTTAGATGATAATTGAATTATTATTCAAATAAAAAACAAACATGCTATAAATAGTAGATCAACTTACTAAGACAAATTTCACCCAACCATTACAATAATTTTAATGCATTAATCTTCATTTCTCGTGTGATATCAAATAATCTTTAGTACTACGTATTTAAAGCGCTCTAGTACAAGAAATTTGCTTGGGCAGCATACCTATCTGGAAAATATTCTGAGTAACATTATAATTTTTTGGAACAGAGACCTTGACCTTTGGTGAACCACACCCAAAATTAATAGGGTCCTCCTCCCTGAGAGCAACCTACGTACCATTTTTTTTGCTAATATTTGTTTCAGAAACAAGAGGATTAGAGGGCCTGTATCGCTCACCTGAATATGTTTAAAATAATTGGTATGAAGTAGGTGCTGTAAGTACATATGAAAATTCAGAAAGATCCATCCAGTAGTTGAGATATAGTGAGAACAAACTTCAAACAGAGCCCCACCCCTATGCAACCTAGGGGGGTCATACCCACCAATTATACAAAATTGAGTCTCCTTGGTCCATTGATGCTCCAGACTAAATAAGGATAAATCCCATAATCCTGATGGTTGAGGAAGGATTTTAAAGGTTTTACCTCCATTTCTCCTATTGGGCCCCGCCCTTCTGCCCCTTGGGAGACCACACCCACTGCTTATACAGAATTGAGTCCCCTTGGCCCATTGACGCTCCAGACTAAATTAGGATAAAATCCCCTAATCTTTATGGTAGAAGAAGGATTTTAAAGGTTTTCCCTCCATTTCTCCTATTGGGTCCCGCCCTTCTGCCCCTTGGGAGACCACACCCCCTGCTTACACAGAATTGAGTCCCCTTGGCCCATGGACGCTCCAGACTAAATTAGAATAATATCCCTTAAGCCCTATGGTAGAAGAAGGATTTTAAAGAATTAAAGAATTTGCTATATTTCCCCTATTTGGCCCCGCCCCTCAGCCCCCAGGGAGCCACACCCACCGTTTATACAAAATTGGTTCCCCTTTACCCAAGGATGCTCCACACTAAATATGGACCAAATCCTTTAATTCCTAAGGAAGAAGAAGGATTTTAAAGAATAATTTGCTATGTTTCCCCTATTTGGCCCCGCCCCTCAGGCCCCTAGGGGGGCCACACCGACGGTTTATACAAAATTGGTTCCCTTTCACCCAAGAATGCTTCTGACCAAATATGGGACAAATCCTTTCTTTTCTACAAAAGAAGAAGGATTTTAAAGAATAATTTGCTATGTTTCCCCTATAGGGCCCCACCACTCAGGCCCCTGGGGGGAGCCACACCCACCATTTATACAAAATTGGTTCCCCTTTACCCAAGGATGCTTCAGACCAAATATGGAACAAATCCTTTCATTCCTACAGAAGAAGAAAGATTTTAAAGAATTTGTTATATTTCCCCTGTTTGGCCCCGCCCCTCAGCCCCCAGGGGGGCCAGAGATACGGTTTATACAAAATTGGTTCCCCTTCACCCAAGAATGATTCAGACCGAATATGGAACAAATCCTTTCATTCCTAAAGAAGAAGAAAGATTTTAAAGAATTTGCTATATTTCCCCTATTGGGGCCAGACCCACCATTTATACAACATTTGTTCCCCTAACCCCAAGGATGCTTTTGACTAAATTTGGTCAAAATCTGCTCATTAGTTCATGATTAGTAGTGTTATAAAGGAAATGTTGACGGACGGACGATGGAAGCTGCGGTATGGCATAAGCTCACCATGGTCCTTCGGACCAGGTGAGCTAAAAACAAACTATAAAACATCTGTAAGACATGAATGCCCCCTGGCCCCACAGTTGTAGACCAATGACAATTAACCTACTGAAAAATAGCAATATCAGACCTATAAATAGCAACAGTGACCTTGGCATTAAAGCTAGCATCTGGGCACAAAATGTTGACAAATTTTGTTTCAACTATATTTCATGAAACTTCACTAAAGTATTCATGTCATCACCATCTAGAAACCAGCTGATATAGGATGACGGGGGAAAAAGACATTTGGCTTGTTGGCATGTGCCTCTATGACTAACTGACAATCAGACCTTGAGGGATATTTTATAGCTGTTTTTAACCAAGAAACTGACTTCAAGAGTTATTTGGTGGCTGTTTTTTTTACCTGAATGACATTCTTACATTGAGAAATATTTGATAGCTAATATTTTTTACCTGACAATCTAACCTTGAAGGATATTTGATGGCTGTTTTTACCTGACAATCTTGCCCTTAAGGATATTTGTTGCTGTTTTTACCTGACAATCTTACCCTGAAGGATATTAGATGGCTGTTTTTTACCTGACAAGCTGACCTTGAAGGATATTTGATGGCTGTTTCTACCTGACAATCTTACCTTGAAGGATATTTGATGGCTGTTTTTATCTGACAATCTTACCTTGAAGGATATTTGATGGCTGTTTTTACCTGACAATCTTACCCTGAAGGATATTTGATGGCTGTTTTTTACCTGACAATCTTAACTTGAAGGATATTTGATAGCTGTTTTTACCTGTCAATCTTACCTTGAAGGATGTTTGATGGCTGTTTTTTACCTGACAATCTAACCTGAAGATATTTGATGGCTGCTCTTACCTACCTGAATGATGATATTACCTTGAAGGATGCTTGATGGCTGCTTTTACCTGCCAATCTTACCTTGAAGGATATTTGATGGCTGTTTTTATCTGACAATCTTACCTTGAAGGATATTTGATGGCTGTTTTTACCTGACAATCTTACCCTGAAGGATATTTGATGGCCGTTTTTTACCTGACAAGCTGACCTTGAAGGACATTTGATGGCTGTTTTTACCTGACAATCTTACCCTGAAGTTTTTTTAATGGCTGTTTTTTACCTGACAAGCTGACCTTGAAGGATATTTGGTTACTGTTTTTTTACCTGACTGACAAGCTGACCTTGAAGGATATTTGATGGCTGTTTTTTTTTACCTGACAATCTTACCTTGAAGGATATTTGATGGCTGTTTTTACCTGTCAATCTTACCTTGAAAAATATTTGATGGCTGTTTTTTTTACCTGACTGACAAGCTGACCTTGGAATGTATCATTTACAATATCTTGTGTGTCATTGATGACTGCAAGTTCTTGTTGCACCTTGTCAAGTAGCTCACTGAAAATATTTAAATCAGTTAATATGTATAGGTAGTTTTACATCAATGGTTCAGACAGAATTGCCTGGACTAGCAAAAGAACTTTTTTTTTGTGTTTTTAAAACATAAGTCCATACCAATCTATTGTCTGTCTATTCTATAAATGTTCCTTTTCTCTCTAAAAACATGTATTCCAAAGTGCATTTTTTAACTCTTAGGCTACAACAACCCTACTAGTTTTATTTTATGAGTTATATTATCAAAGAAAGGAGGTTTAGAATGCAGCTCTATTTTAAGGTGAAAGATGTGTTACACCTGCTTACCATAGAAACTCCTGGGCATCTTGCTGTGCATAGCCCTTGAAAGTGGGAATGGCCTGCCACACAGCCTGAAGCAGGGCATGAGGACTGACTTGGGCCCATCGCCCTGACCACAACACACGGAACAGACCGTTCAACTCCTGGTGCAGAGAGCTGTGTGTAAGGGTAACAAAAACATCATATGACTTCCTGTAACATCTCAACTGACGTTACTTTCAGTGGTATATTGGCCTTTAAATTTATAATTCTCTATCAAAATATAATATTGTATTATAGTTTTTTCTTCTTCTAAGATTAACTCATTTACTCCTGAAATTACATAATGGACCATTCCAACCTTTGATTTGAAAGAGTTAAAATGTGTCTTCAGGGGTGAATGAGTTGAAATTCTAAGAGACAGTATGTAACCAGAGAGCTGTCAGGGGCAGAATATCCCCCAAAAATATCACGTGCAGGGTTTGCTATTGACCCGTCATTGATTTGTGTTGGTTAAGCACAGGAAACTTGCGCAAAAATCGTTACAATCTGTTTCATCATAGTTCTACGTGGACCAGCATCATTTTTTTTATATATAAATGCAGACTTTGTACAATCATACATTTACAAGTTACACTAAAGTTTTCAAGTTATCATTCAGAGAAGCAATGTTCTATTTTAAGCAACAGTGACCTTTACCTCTGACTGCCCACACCTTTAATCAATAGGCTTGTTCAAAATCTCTAGGACCCAATATACATAGTTTGTACTTTGCACCGTAATTCATTCTGAAGTTATTATCAGGACAAACACTACAAAACAAAATTTCATTACCGGTACATATCAGTAATGGTCACCTTGACCTCTTTCAGACCACATCAAATTAATCTTTGCATGCAAAGGGGCAATCCACACACCTAGTTTGAAGTTTGTATTATCATTCATTCAGAATCTATCGGCTAGACAAGCAGAAGTCTATTTTTAGCAATGATGACCTTGACCTCTGGCTTCCAATGCCCAAAATCATTGGGAATTACTAGGTCAACCCACACACAGAGTTTGAACTTTGTATGATCATTTGTTCTCAAGTTATCAATGAAACAAGCTCGACCAAGCAGAATTCTATGTTTAGCAGACCATGCCCAAAATCAATTGGGTTTTTCGCATCCACTAGGGCAGCCTACACACGGTTATCATCTGTAGAAGCACTACAGACAGACAGACGGATGGACAACCCAACCCGCATGTTGGCTATATATCCCCCTGGATTTTTATTCAGGGGGAATAAAAAGAAATCTAGCTGAATAAGTTGCTCAATCTATAGTGCCTTACATTTTGTCTGGGGCAGAGTTTTTAGACTCAACTGTACTGATAAGCTGACGTCGGACAGGTGTGCATGACGTGGACCCCCCACTCAGTCCCTCTTTCTTGGTGCTGCTGTTCTTAGATGATTTGGGCGTCATTAAATGCTGTGGAAAGAGTGGAAACATGAGCACTCAATCAATGCTGTTTACTTGAAATATATTCTGTTGTTACAATATAAAACTGAACTTACGATCCTGTAATTTAAAAAACAAGAGGCCCAATGGGCCTGCATCGCTCACCTGGTATTAATCTCACACTTGTAATCTTAAAAGTGGACTAAAATACAGCTACAGGCAGAATATCAGTGTTTGATTCACAAGAACCTATTAAAAGATTTAAACATGAAGCCTGTGTCCTTGAATGTCGAACAAGGACATTAGGTTGAAAGTGGGTCAAGGTCATTCATTTGAACAAACTTGGTAGGCCTTCAACCCAGCATGCTACAGGCCCAATATCAGTACCCTTGGCCTTTTGGTTATTGAGAAGAAGTCGTTTGAAGATTTTAAGACATCTGACCCCAGTGACCTTGATAGTGGGTCAAGGTCATTCATCCAAGCATGCTACAGGACCAATATCAGTACCCTGGGCCTTTTGGTTATTAAGAAGAAGTGGGTTGAAGATTTTAAAACATTTGACCCCTGTGACCTTCAAAGTTGGTCATATTTGACCCCTGTGACCTTGAATATAAATAAAAGTCATTCATTTGAACAAACTTGGTAGCCCTTCATCCTAGTATGTTACTGGCCAAATATCATTATCCTAGGCCTCTTAGTTATTGAAAAGAAGTTGTTTAAAGATTTTTTAAGACAATTGAACCCTGTGACCTTGAAAATAGATGAAGGTCATTCATTTGAACAAACTTGGTAGCCCTTCATCCCAGCCTGCTACTGGCCAAATATCATCATCCTGCGACTTTTGGTTATTCAGAAGTTGTTTAAAGTTTTTAACATATTTGACCCCTGTGACCTTGAAAATAGGTGAAGGTCATTTATTTTAACAAACTTGGTAGCGCTTCATCCCAGTTTGCTTCTGGCCAAATATCATCATCATAGGCCTTTTGGTTATTGAGAAGAAGTTGTTTTAAGTAAAATATTGACGCCAGATGGTCGGACGACGGATGGACGATGGACGCCGCACCATGACATAAGTTCACTTGGCCCTTCGGGCCAGGTGAGCTAAAAATAAAATAAAAATATAATGATCATATTTTCTACTTGTTGATATTTAGTATTTTTTGTCTTTTTACTTTGTAATTGTTGTCAAATAAATAAAGTTTATATATATATTTGACATATCACAGAATCTGACCTTTTTGTGAAAGAGTTACACGGTACATGTATTTACTTTGGTGACTGTTTTGGATTAAAAAAAGGAACAACAACAGAGTACCTTTCGTTAAACTGCTGGAATCTATATCTATGATTTTGAAGAGGTTTGAAACATCAACAGTGTATTTTAGATCTTTTCAGGAAATCAGGATCTGTCTATATACCTGTAATCTGTATATCAATACACCACAATGACTTTTACCTGAAAGCATTCCACAGTTGACTGGCGACTGAGGTAAGGTGTGATTGATGATGAGTGACGAGTCAGAAGCCTGGCAGATGACCTGGGGGAGGGGGAGGGAGAGGGGGTAGAGGAGGATGCGGCTTGGGATGAGGCATCACTCTTGGAGGACTGTGTCTCCAAATGCATGAAGTATTCCCGGAACTCTTCCAAATTGCTGTCAATAAACAGTCACATGAGTTGTAATACAATTGTTAATTGTCTTTGTGATGTGACATATATCATAAATATTTGTGTGACTGTCAGAAAACAGTAAAATAACATTATAACAAGAGGCCTAGTGGGCCTGAAATGCTCTCCTGGTTTAAAATGACTACTATTGAACAGTTGTGAGAAATAACGGCAAGAATGTGTAAAACTTGAAGAGCTTTAAGTGAGCAACACTGCACACACAAATGTTTAGGGTCCAATAGCACGTTGTTAGTATCACAATAAGAGTCGGATTCAATAGGAAACCAGTTGGAAAATGTTTACCCAGGTACCGATCAAAATACCAAACTGTTACTGCCCATTTAAACCGTAGTGAAAAGTAGAATAAAATATTTCAATATCCCAGTCATATTATCTGATTGTGGATGGCCCTAAATCTTTAAATTTTGGCCAAGCCGAGGGGAAACAGCGGCCATTTTCGACCTGGAAACCAGGTCAATGGACCTGTAGGACAATTGCAGCCTTTATTCTATCTAGTCTACCTGTGACCTAACACCTCTTAACTAGTAATATGATTGTTTCAGGTTTTGCACTATATGTGTCTTACCATCCCCATTTTTTCTTGTTACATTAGACAATGGAAACATGAGTTTTGGGTATGACACACTACAGCTATATGGTGATACAGATAATTATGCAAACATCAGTAGCTCATCCTATGCTTATTATTATATGTAAATGGCCCTCCTACAATTTGGAGATGTAAACTTAGACAACAGTCGCCACATGTTACTGGTAGGGACTACCAATCAGACTGTACCTGAGGATCTGTAAGATTGAATTCATGTAACAAGTGTTACCAAGGTTACGCAGGCCAGTAATTCCTGGGATTAATGTACGCTTTCTCATGAAGGGGCTTGATGGTGACGGCACTAGTACTTCTGCTTGGCGCCGATTTTTCTTCGGAGTCTAAAAACACATTGTAGACATGCATTAGACCATAAAACCTTTCAACTCAAAAATGTCTTACTTGTCTTCTCTGTTTACATCCTCACAAGACCTAGATTCATGCAAAAATACTAGTTTGACTTGCACAGTCCAAACAAAATAATCAGAAATTTGAAACTGTCAAAAACATCAAATGTGAAAAAGTAACCACATCAACGATAGTAAAAACTGTGGAGTGAATCAGAACTCTATAGAAATACCTGGTAGGTTTTGGTGAAACAATGGTAAAGTTTGTCCCCCCAAAATTATAGCACTACAAAATGATAGTTACAAGTTTGATGATCACAGTCAAAGTAGGTGACAAACCACAGAAATGTCTGCTCAGGATTATTTTCTTATCAAACAATACTGTAATCTAACAAAACTTAATACTATCACTAACTTCAATCCTCTTTGAAATCAGCACATCTAGAAAACACTTATAATGTTTCACACCAAAAGTTAAAAATTACAAACCTTTTTATTTTTTTCATCCAAAATAAAGGCCTGCCATGCTGCAAATGTCTTCCCCAGGACCTTTTGCCTGTAAAAACCCGTCACAAGCTAGTGTCTTTACGTGAGATTGCTATTCTACAAGATTCTAAAACTACAATATAATATGTGTAATCCAAAACCAACCAAGATCAATCTATCCAGATTACACAGGTTTCCCCATTACAAATACTGTATTCATCTTACATACAAATTTACTACAGGATCCTATGTTATTAATTGCACTAATTAGATGTCTCTTATGATCACGAGGGGATACAGCAGGACAATTGTTTCCATGAACTTACTGGGTGCCCCGAACTATGACTACCTTTCCAACATTATACATGCAAGCAGAACTTTTCCTCATGTGACATTGTAAAGTGCTGTTGTTGCTTGGTGATAAATACGTTGACTTGGTTGAAAACTGACAAAATAAGGGGATAGCAAAATACAAAAAAACAAGGCAAAGTATTGCAAGGCAATCCATATGATTATGATTTCTTTATTGACCCAGCTGTACACCTATCTCAGGATCAACCTAACGTAAAGAAAGTATCTTTACAAGTCTGATGTCAGAGGTCAAAGCATAGATCACAGTGACCTACTTTTTGTACTCCACCATCATAGGATATACCTACATACTAAATTTGGTTTATCCTAGTGAAATAATACAGAAGAAGAGCCATGGACAAACTCTTCGAAAGGTTAAGGTCAAAGATCAAAATGTAGGTCACACTGATGTACTTCTCACACTTTGCAATAAGCCATCCTAAATTGTACTTACATACCAAATCTGGTTACTCAAGGTGAAATGAAGTGAGCTTTGGACAGATGGAATACAGACAGACAGAGTGCTCACCTATGGTTCAGAAACTAATGGGGACTAATAAACAGACTACAAAATATGTTGTAACTTATCAAGAAGTGGTTCTGGTAATACAATTGTGATATTGCTAATTCCTTTAAACAGATTTTTAGACCAGAGATTCTGTCTCATGAGCCTACATTATGTATTTCATTTCAAATCCTTAAATTTTCAAAAGTGATTAACTTTGTCTTAATATAGTATCTTTATTTATAAATAGTATGTGTAATAACCAATTATGTTGAAATTTTGAAGAAAAACCCTGAAGGCTTATATAATTATAATGCAGTCATAACTGAAGTACACTATTCCTTTACCTTCTGTGCCAGTCTGCTGTAGCAATTCTGTCATCTTCTTTTGATGTCAAGCTGAAGAAAAAAAATTAGTTTGACTATATGGCAAACAATCTTCTTGAGGAAAATGTATAGATCTTACCAACTGATTAAAACTAGAGAAAATGTGAGAGAGCTCACAAAGATATACCCCCTGCTTGCACTTAAACTTGTTTTTTTTAATCAGAAATTGAAGTTTCAATGGCCATAACTCCTGGAAAAATGGTCCAACAAAATTATTCCTTTCTTCATGAACATCGTACCATAATGCTATTCCACTGTGCCAAAAGTCAAACAAACAATGGAGGAGTTGTGCTTACAAGGTTTCAAGGGCCATAACCCCAGGAAAAACAATAGAATTGCAACACTGAAGACCAGTGGAGTATATGTGCTAGGAAAGTTATCATACTGAGACGTTAAAGTCTGTTTTTAGCAATGGTGACCTAGACAACTGACTGCCCACCCCTTAAATCAATAGCCTTAATCGCAATCTTTATCAGGACAAACAGTTACCTAAACCTCTGGGCGTTATAACGCCAAAAATCCATAGGGTTCTTTGGATCCAATTTGGCAACCCATACACAAAGTTTGAACTTAGTATGATCATCTGTTCTTTAGTTGTCATCCAGATGAGCCCAACCAAGCAAGATTTCTATTTTTAGCAATGGTTACCTTGACCTTTGGCAGACCAGGCCAAAAATCAACAAGTTCTTCGCTTCCACCAGGACAACCCACATATCAAGTTTGAACTTTGTGTCTTCATTTGTTCTCAAGTTATCATCCTACAAGCCCAGCCAAGCAGGATTCTACTTCTAGCAACAGTGAACCATGATCAAAATCAAGAGGTCTCTTCACATTCACTAGAGCAACCCACACAACAAGTTTGAAGTTTGCAGGATCAATCGTTAAACATTTACCAAAACATCCCCTGAGACTTCTATATGTTGAAGGTTACAGTGGGGTTATAGGACATACAGGACACCAACGTGGACGTTATGGCAGTGTGGGAGTAGGACCTCAGTGAGACTTCTATATGTTGAAGGTTACAGTGGGGTTATAGGACATACAGGACACCAACGTGGACGTTATGGCAGTGTGGGAGTAGGACCTCAGTGAGACTTCTATATGTTGAAGGTTACAGTGGGGTTATAGGACATACAGGACACCAACGTGGACGTTATGGCAGTGTGGGAGTAGGACCTCAGTGAGACTTCTATATGTTGAAGGTTACAGTGGGGTTATAGGACATACAGGACACCAACGTGGACGTTATGGCAGTGTGGGAGTAGGACCTCAGTGAGACTTCTATATGTTGAAGGTTACAGTGGGGTTATAGGACATACAGGACACCAACGTGGACGTTATGGCAGTGTGGGAGTAGGACCTCAGTGAGACTTCTATATGTTGAAGGTTACAGTGGGGTTATAGGACATACAGGACACCAACGTGGACGTTATGGCAGTGTGGGAGTAGGACCTCAGTGAGACTTCTATATGTTGAAGGTTACAGTGGGGTTATAGGACATACAGGACACCAACGTGGACGTTATGGCAGTGTGGGAGTAGGACCTCAGTGAGACTTCTATATGTTGAAGGTTACAGTGGGGTTATAGGACATACAGGACACCAACGTGGACGTTATGGCAGTGTGGGAGTAGGACCTCAGTGAGACTTCTATATGTTGAAGGTTACAGTGGGGTTATAGGACATACAGGACACCAACGTGGACGTTATGGCAGTGTGGGAGTAGGACCTCAGTGAGACTTCTATATGTTGAAGGTTACAGTGGGGTTATAGGACATACAGGACACCAACGTGGACGTTATGGCAGTGTGGGAGTAGGACCTCAGTGAGACTTCTATATGTTGAAGGTTACAGTGGGGTTATAGGACATACAGGACACCAACGTGGACGTTATGGCAGTGTGGGAGTAGGACCTCAGTGAGACTTCTATATGTTGAAGGTTACAGTGGGGTTATAGGACATACAGGACAACAACGTGGACGTTATGGCAGTGTGAAAGTAGGACCTCAGTTAGACTTCTATATGTTAAAGGTTACAGTGGGGTTATAGGACATACAGGACAACAGCGTGGACGTTATGGCAGTGTGGGAGTAGGACCTCAGTGAGACTTCTATATGTTAAAGGTTACAGCGGGGTTATAGGACATACAGGACACCTACGTGGATGTTATGGCAGTGTGGGAGTAGGACCTCAGTTAGACTTCTATACGTTGAAGGTTACAGTGGGGTTATAGGACATACAGGACACCTACATGGACGTTATGGCAGTGTGGGAGTAGGACCTCAGTGAGACTTCTATATGTTGCAGGTTACAGTGGGGTTATAGGACATACAGGACACCTACATGGACGTTATGGCAGTGTGGGAGTAGGACCTCAGTTAGACTTCTATACGTTGAAGGTTACAGTGGGGTTATAGGACATACAGGACACATACGTGGACGTTATGGCAGTGTGGGAGTAGGACCTCAGTGAGCCTTCTATATGTTGAAGGTTACAGCGGGGTTATAGGACATACAGGACAACAACGTGGACGTTATGGCAGGGTGGGAGTAGGACCTCAGTGAGACTTCTATATGTTGAAGGGTACAGTGGGGTTATAGGACATACAGGACAACAAAGTGGACGTTATGGCAGTGTGAAAGTAGGACCTAAGTTAGACTTCTATATGTTAAAGGTTACAGTGGGGCTATAGGACATACAGGACACCTACGTGGACGTTATGGCAGTGTGAAAGTAGGACCTCAGTTAGACTTCTATATGTTAAAGGTTACGGTGGGGTTATAGGACATACAGGACACCTACGTGGATGTTATGGCAGTGTGGGAGTAGGACCTCAGTGAGACTTGTATATGTTGAAGGTTACAGTGGGGTTATAGGACATACAGGACTCCTACGTGGACGTTATGGCAGTGTGGGAGTAGGACCTCAGTAACTTAAAGCCCTTGGTCTCCACATCACCAAAGGTCTGTGTGGCAATGGCACTGAGAGCGCTGCGGATTGTCTTCAGGTCCCCAGCGGCATTGTCGTTAATAACGTAATCGTCACAAAGGTAACTACAACAGAATGATAATGTAATTATGACAGAGGTAACTACAACAGAATGTTAACAAATCTATCTCGTCAAATTTGTTCACTAAATTTAGTGAAATGACTGCTAGACAGCCCTTCTTCATACATGGTGACAACTACACACAGCATTTTACATTTCGTCAAAAACAATCTTTTGGTAGTTTTTGTCAAAAGCAGTCCCTAAATTTGGTCAAATGTACATGTGGGTGTTTAACATAATCTTTGGGGTCAGTTATGGGTGGTCGCTGATCGCATAAGACCAGATACTGAGATAGTCGTTTACAGTTAAATTATAATATAGTAAATACTTTCGAGAGGAAAGAAACATGGTTGCAAAAAGCGGAATGTTCTTATTACATGAAGATGGTTTTATGAGCAGATTCAACTGTTTTTAGAGAACGATAAGGCTGTTATATACATTATTAGAAAACATCAATGCACAATATTGCATGGTGAACTTACCAATAGACATACTTGGAGTTCACTTCTATACACAGAGGGTGCTGAAAAATGAAAACGGAATCAGATATCGTGATCAACATTGTTACTACAGATCAGCTATGTTACCACAGATAAACATTGTTACTACAGATCAGCGATGATACCACAGATCAGCTATGTTACCACAGATAAATATTGTTACCACAGATCAGCGATGTTACCACAGATCAGCAATGTAACCACAGATCAGCGATGTTACCACATATAAACATTGTTACCATAGATCAGCGATGTTACCACAGATAAACACTGTTACCACAGATCAGCGATGTTACACAGATAAATATTGTTACCACATTTCAGCGATGTTACCACAGATAAACATTGTTACCACAGATCAGTGATGTTACCACAGATAAACATTGTTACTACAGATCAGCATTGTTACCACAGATCAGCGATGTTACCACAGATAAACATCGTTACCAGAGATCAGCGATGTTACCACAGATAAACATTGTTACCAGAAATCAGCGATGTTATCACAGATAAACATTGTTACCACAGATCAGCGATGTTACCACAGATAAACATTGTTACCACAGATCAGCGATGTTACCACAGATAAACATTGTTACCACAGATCAGCAATGTTGTCCTTACTATAGCTCATGCTATTTTGTTTCAGTCTACATCTGCAACCTGAACTTTAGCTTTTAGTTTTCATGAACATGTAATTTGTGTTTACAACATTTACTATCACATTGACGCAAGCTTGAAACTACAGTTTAATATTGTTTAAGAACATTACAGAAAACTCAGATATTTACATGTTGGTCCTTTTTTTTTCTTGCACATTGATTATCATTTTATTCTTATATCAGAACAAAAATTTAGACTTCACAGAGAATAATAACAAAATCAAACAATAAAAAAGTTAAATATATTGGCATGAGTTGTTTGTGTGTGTGACACTCAATACATATGTGTAGATCATCATTCCAACCTTGCTGTCACTGAAGTGCTTCAAGGCATGTTCTTGGTTAAATCTTCCACAGGCCACATTCGGACAATTTAAACAGGCCTAAAACAAAATAAAGTGGATCCATGGTGAAAGATGTAGCAATAATACATGTACAAGGGTACGCTTTCGATAAAAGCAGACAAGACATTTCGCAAACCTGACAACATAGCTATTATATACCAGAAAGTGGCCCATCTTCCCTTGTCCCAAATAAATGCTATAGTCTTACATGTACTGGTACATGTATCTGAAATACAAAGGCGGAAAAAGATGTTGTTCTCCACAGCTGGTTATAACTGCATGCTGTAGGTGCATGTGCACCAGAGGAGTCACAAAAGCAGAAAGTCCAGTTTGTCATTATACGTATTTCATTAATAACAAGAAAAATGCTGAACACACTTCACAAAATCTTGTGTTCATATCCTACATCATACATCATATCACATGTTTTTCAGCTGAGCATTCATTAATTAAAACAGTCTAGAACAAGAGTACATAAGGGCAGATCAATATACAGTGCCTGTCCCAAGCCAATCGGACATACTTGAACTTCTTCTCATGCATTATTGTATCTAAATGTATGAAAATATGGAAATGTAAGGAGACTAATCTGAATTGAAGACACATGTGTATAGTACTGTATTGCTCAGGAAACTACTCCTTGGGTGTGACAACATGTATATAGTACTGTATTGCTCAGGGAACTACTCCTAGGGTGTGACAACATGTGTATAGTACTGTATTGCTCAGGAAACTACTCCTAGGGTGTGACAACATGTGTATAGTGCTGTATTGCTCGGGGAACTACTCCTAGGGTGTGACAACATGTGTATCCTGTATTGCTCAGGGAACTCCTCCTAGGGTGTGACAACATGTGTATACTGTATTGCTCAGTTAACTACTCCTAGGGTGTGACAACATGTGTATAGTGCTGTATTGCTCAGGGAACTACTCCTAGGGTGTGACAACATGTGTATCCTGTATTGCTCAGGGAACTCCTCCTAGGGTGTGACAACATGTGTATACTGTATTGCTCAGTGAACTACTCCTAGGGTGCGACAACATGTGTATAGTACTGTATTGCTCAGGGAACTTCTCTTAGGGTGTGACAACATGTGTATACTGTATTGCTCAGTGAACTACTCCTAGGGTGCGACAACATGTGTATAGTATAGTACTGTATTGCTCAGGAAACTACTCCTAGGGTGTGACAACATGTGTATAGTGCTGTATTGCTCGGGGAACTACTCCTAGGGTGTGACAACATGTGTATAGTATAGTACTGTATTGCTCAGGAAACTACTCCTAGGGTGTGACAACATGTGTATAGTATTGTATTGCTCAGGCAACTACTCCTAGGGTGTGACAACATGTGTATACTGCATTGCTCAGGGAACTACTCCTAGGGTGTGACAACATGTGTATAGTATTGTATTGCTCAGGCAACTACTCCTAGGGTGTGACAACATGTGTATACTGCATTGCTCAGGGAACTACTCCTAGGGTGTGACAACATGTGTATAGTATAGTACTGTATTGCTCAGGAAACTACTCCTAGGGTGTGGTGAAAGGAGAATACAGACTGTACTTGACAAACTTAAGTTGGAGGAATATATATTTCATATATCCTTTACAACCTTTAAAAATTTGATTTATAGAAATGTTCTCCCTTTGCAGTCTTAGAATTTGTTACACATCTTCTACTTCTACTTCTAAATGGTACTGACCAACTTCAACAATTTGAAGATAAAATGTCAGACGTCATACTCATAGACAGTATGCTACAGTGAATCTCATGGTGATTGACTATGGGTTTAACCATTAAGTTTAAACACTGCCTTTGTACTTACTTCAAACCATGAAAAAAGAAATTGAAACTGTCCATATTTGCCTATAATACATTCAATTTACACCATCAAAACCAATGATATTTCTATTGTTTAAGTACCGGCAAATTCATTATTTGGCAAAGGGTAAACTATTTATTAGAATCCTGTCATATTTGAATAAGTTACTGTGTGAAAACCATCTACTAATCACATAGCAGTAAACTTTGTCCTACATTATAGGCAGGTTATACTCATGTTTTAGCTTAGCCTTTGACATGGTATCATATAAATGTTGACCCAGAATATGATTATATTTGACAAAATTACTGTGCAGAAACTTTCCACCAATCAGAGCAAAGAATGCTAATTAATTATGCATGGATTTTGCTCAACTTCAAACTCAGTCTTTGCATACTGTGTATACATATATACAAATCAAGTTTCATCAAAATCCAACAACAGTTAAGCAAGTCATATCTTGCAAAAACTAACATTTGGAAACTGACCGATCAGAACACAAACTGACCAATCAGAACACAGTAACATTTGGAAACTGACCGATCAGAGCACAGTATGTTTATCAACTTCGTGCAGATTTTGCTCCACCTCAAACTTTGGCTAAGTCTTTGAACACACACCAAGTTTCATCAAAATGATATTTAAGCAAGTTATCTTGCGGACACCAAAGTGTGGATAGACAGATGGACGGACGCTCCCCATACCATAATATATTCTGTCAAAATTAATGTGTTCATTTGACACAGAAACACAACATACCTTCAGTGTGCATATATATATGATTATATCAATCTCAAGTTATAGACTAAAGATAATGTGAGCTTTCCACCAAATACATTGTTCAAACTTACCCAGACACTTTCTGTTGTGCCACATATGTAGCACATCCATTTCTGGGGGTTTAAAATGGAACAGTTGCTCCCTTTTGGTCGACATTTTGACAGATGATGACAGGTTTCCATGAAGAATTTATTCTGAAAAGATACATTGTTGATAATAACAATTATATTTGAAAATCAACATACCTGGATTCTGATATCAATGATATTACACTAGAAATGTGATTGGAAAAATTAGACGGACATTTTTTCCACTTAAATGTTCAGACAGATACATTAAGACAGCAAATGATGTAATTAAATAAATCTTAGTAAAGGTTGTTGAACAGTCCTTCAAATTATAATCCCTGCAATTACACAATCTCCAAACTAATACTTCCTGATATCACTAAATCTCCAAACTTATAATCTCTTCAATCACACAATCATCAAATCTCAAAACTTACAATCTCTTCAATCACACAATCATCAAATCTCCAAACTTATAATCCCTGCAATCACAAAATCAACAAATCTCCAAACTTATAATCCCTGCAATCACACAATCACCAAATCTCAAAACTTATAATCCCTGCAATCACACAATCAACAAATCTCCAATCTTATAATCCCTGCAATCACACAATCACCAAATCTCCAATCTCATAATCCCTGATATCACACAATCACCAAATCTCCAATCTTATAATCCCTGCAATCACACAATCACCAAATCTCCAATCTTATAATCCCTGCAATCACACAATCACCAAATCTCCAACTTATAACCCCTGCAATCATGCAATCACCAAATATCTAACTCTTGATTCAATTCAATTAAACTAGAATATTTTTTAAATAAAAGATATAAATGTAACTGCCTACCTCTATTATTTTCAGATTAAACTGATAGTTGCATTGATAAATGGGCACAACTCAACATCTTTACCACTTTAACTGCTTGTTGTCGCCCCCCCCCCCCCCCCCTCCTTCCAATTTCTCTTTCTGTAAGGCTTTATTCTAATTCAATTAAACTAGAATATTTTTTAAATAAAAGATACTGATAGTCTTTCTCTCTCTCTTTTTATATATATATATTTTGTGATGCTGAAACCTTTAAAAAAAAATTATTTATATGCGCTGCAATCTGGATGTTTTGTCATAAGTGTTTTTTTTTTATCTAAGTGTTTTTTCCTTCTTAGTGTAGAGCATTGTTATAACAGTTGCAAAAAGCAGTTCTTCTGATTTCAATTCATGCATGGGTTTTATCCACAATACCCCAGATTTAATATAGCCAAGGCACATTTCTAAAATCAACACATTACAACTGTTTGCTCCAGCTGCCTAAAGATTATGGATTCTTATGAATGATAAAATGAATACCATTTGAAATGAAGAAATAAATCGGATATGATCTTTGAAGTCACAAATTATTGCTACTATTTTTATGTGATTTTCAATTTTAAGGAAAACGCTTTTAAAAGAAGATTTTATCATTAGGTTGATAACAAAAGACATTAAATATATTCTTATTAAAAAATAATGATGTAAAAAATCGAATACTCAAGGCTCAAATGAATATTTTTTTGTCAGCATATTAAAATTGTATGATGACCTTTAGAATTTATATGACAATTTTTTTTTCTGTGGTGTGAATATATTCCTATAGTCCAAAACAGAATACAGTCGTTGCACGCACCATTTTTTTAAAAACGTGATCAAAACACTGACATTTGAATTTGAATTACGTTTTCTTGTGCTATTTGAAGTTAAAATCTAATCATCTGTAAACAAAAAAATGATGCATGCATGCTATCTATTCTAAGACTACATCATTGTTTTAACTGATTTGTTGACATGTTTATTTATTTAACAGTATTTTCGCAAAAAGTGATCCGATTTGGGTACTGATCCGATTTTGGTACTGCCTCCTTGCTACACAGTACTGTACAGTATTACTATAAGCTCAATCAGTACTGTAGAGTGTACTGAACCTGCTTATTATTTGGTTTTGTTGAAAGAAAGATGAAATAAAGCCCATTGTATAGAACATGGACATTACTTATTTCTTTTAAAATATGGTCCCTTCTTTTGTTGTATTCTTAAAAATCAAGATCCCAGTGCTTTGCTCTATTGGTAGGCCTTGGGTGTAGTATTTCAATAGTCAAACCTACAATCAAATGACACATTGTACAAGCACAGTCTTCTTAGCGTCATCATTTATCATCAACCGTACCTTGTTATGGTTGATTGTTATTTAAGTAAGAGGGATGTCGTAAAACAAGATATAATAACAATACATTCGTAATAAATAACACTATGCACTGGTCATACTTCGATGCAACAGCATGTTTAGGTGTTCATTTCTGTTTTCAATGAAACACAGGAAACACCACGATCTCCATTTTAAAAACACATCCCAGAGTTCCGGAGTGGCTAGTCCATTAAATAAAAGTAGGGGTGTTTTCCCGGTTGGTCCACCCAGTCTAAATTGAGATATGTTTATGTAAAATAGTAGAAGTTGAAGAGAAATATCTAAATTTATAAATAATTACTCAATTTTTCCTTTTAATAAGGGAATTTCACTTACACATTTGTACAAGCTTTCTCCCCTGTCTCAGGCCGAGTCTATTATATAGATGTCAACATGGCGGAAGAACAGGGTGCCGACACTGCTGATAGTAGCTTGGAAACTAATTATGCAGAAAAATCCGAGGATGTATTCGTAAATGGTGATACTGATAGTGTAGATGGTGCAAAAGTGATAGAGTATGAAACACAGGTTTCGCAGGAAGAGACAAATGTCTCTGGGCAAGTCATGCCGAGGAAAAGTAGTTTTATGAACAGGGATGGAAGTAGAAAACCAATACGAAAGAAGACGGTGTCTTTCAGCAGTATGCCAACCGAGAGGAAAATAGCAACAGGTAGGCAACGCTTTATGCATGATAGCTGCAATGTGTTGCATATTTTCTGAAATATTTCGTATGTTAATGTATTTTGCAACCTGTGAAGTTGCAGTACACACGCTGTGTATTACAGGAGAGAGCTCTCCCCTTTGATGAGGTATACTGTGCGTCAGTGTCAGGCCCTTTACTTCGGATGTACAAGCTGATCTTAACATCCGTTTTATATTATCAAACTCTGTGTGGCCATTGTTGATAAAGTGTGTATAAATTGTCTGATGTGATTAAAGTCTGTCTTTGAATTTATCGATATTAGCTTGCAAGAAATTAGGTTATTACTGTATGACAGCTCCAACTGTCACTTTGACTCATTGCAAAATTAATTAATGTAAGTGGCTTGAATTCTTAATAAGGAAACAAATGTCACCTTCAGGGTCTATGAAGGTAAACAAATGGCTGTTTTCTTAACTCTTTTTACTTCAATTTTATCATCGTTGATTACAGTTCATTATAAATGCAAGTGTTATTTATATTAAATGTGGGTTGATAAGTAGATCTGTAGATCATGGTATACTTTTTGTCAACAAATAATGATAATTAATTATTGAATTCATTGAAGTGATGGATAAATTTTTTTTTTTACAGTTATATCTCTACAACTATCAATCAGTATCACCCCTAGCTCAATTAGTACATCTGTATGTTATGCTGTAAGTCTTGTGTATTGGTTTTTAAAGTTGGGCCCCACATGCACGCAGCCTGTGGCAATAAAATACATTGACATCATTTCATAGGAATGTAAGGCTATGTTTGACCTATTTGGTGTCCCAGTATTTTCTTTTTTTGCTTCAGTTTGATTTGGGATGCATATAAGAATGCAGGAAAATGATAAGCAAGTCACATTTACTTAACTTTGACTTTATTTTCCAATTGAACCAGAGAATTAAGGTCTTTATAACGTCCCTCTCCAATATAAATCCCAATTTATTATTATAAAAGTTTATCTTTCTGAAAGCTAGCTATATATTGATTGCATTGGTCTGTCATCACTTTATCAGAAGACAATACTCTTCTATTGCAACTTTCTTTTCTTTCAATTATATGTCATCTGAACTGATAATAGCACCATTTAATGGCACTTTTCAAATAGAAATTATTAAAGCTGGAAAATCTGCAATACTACGATCTGCTTTCTAATTAAAGCATTTGAGTTATATTTTTAAAATCCATTTTGTTGTGGTCCCTTTTCAGATCAAATAGTACAATATTTTATAAAATATAAAATGTGTGTTTAAATTTTCATCTTGTATTCATATGATAATGCAACATTTAGTTGATGTTTTTTTTTATTAATCTGAAAAGTCCCAATTTGTTTGAAAAATCCCAATTTGGATTACTGCAAGATAGTGCTGAGTATTGCCATTAAGCTCATGATATGATTCATATACATTGATACTCACATGTCGCAATACATATTGTCACCCTTCTAATTTGTAACACTCTTCCTGATTGGATATCTTGCCTGGGTCTATATTTCTTTTATAGACCCCGCTCTAGATCTGCTGGGGTCTATAAAATCACATGCCAGGGGAGATAACTCAAACAAGAATATCTGTACATAACAACAAAGATGGCGCCCGACACACTCAAGCATTCGAAGTTTGCCCCATCATTCACAGGATGAAATAGCATACAAACAATCTAAAACTACAGCAAATTCAATGAATCTGGAAAGGAGGGGGCTGCTATAGGGTGCTAATTACAAATTAAAGATGGCCGTGTATTGTTCGAAATATTGCAGAAACGGTGTCTGGTATCTAGGAGCTATTTTGGTAGCTGTCAAGTACAACTCACCAAGTGTCGTATAATTTTTGCAGAAAATAATAGATTGTCAGGGTGACAAATTTGTTATCTCTGGGTTAGGCGGGGTTTACAAGCTCATAGACCCCTTTGGTCTTTATAGACCAGACAGGGTCTATGAGCCCATAGGTAGACCCCTTCTTACCCAGAGATAACTTATATTGTGAAGCAATATATATATATCACAAAACAAAACAAAAAGGAAAAATATCGAAACTTTATATAATATATATATTAAAGAGGTTTTATATTATGTTACATAAAAATAAGCATTTCAGTTTAAGATATATGTTAAATTTATTAAATAAAAGCTTGTACAATGTCATTTGACACACACAAATTATGATGAGCAGTGTTCGAACTCATTTTTCTATCTGGGGGTTTTAGTATCCCCAAGATTTGCAAAATAGGGGTAACTAGTGATGAGCAATCAGTTTAAAATCGTAATCGATAATCGCTTTATAATCCGAAGTAGTAAACCAATCGATGATCGATTACATAATTGATTTAATGATGACAAGTTCGTCAACACATCTTGTCATACCACTTGATACTCTTGAGGTAGACACACCACTTGATACTCTTGAGGTAGACACATCACTTTCGCTCTTTGTTCTCAATTTGAATCTCTTGTTATCATGGTACAGCTGACGGAAGTTTAGAGTGGTCAGGCTATTGCATTGCTCATGCAAGGTCAAAGGCAACAACAGGTTGCTATGCAGTTTGGTGTGAATGTTTCTTGTCCTTTGTCTAGAGACACCAGAAGGGTTGCCGACTGATCGCGATCGGGACGTCCGTACGTAGTAATATGACGTTAAGACAGGGGTATTTGTCTTGCCCATCTGCGTAATCTTGCATTCATGAGAGGGATAGGTTTGTGGGTGGCTCAGTTATGGTCTGGGGAGGGATATCTCACTGTTGATTATGGTAGCTGGCAATTTAACCAAGTATGTAATATATAGGGATGACATCCTCCACCTGGTTGCAGTTCAATTTGTGCAACAGCATCACCTAGTTTTGAGTTTATACACATTTCACAAAATTAAGATAATATACCATACAGGGGTGTAAACAATTTCAGCAAGTGGATTTTTGACTCGATATTTTTTTACACCCTTGTATATTATTTTAATTTTGTGAAATGTGTACAAACTCTCAGAGAAATGATCATGATATGCCTACAGAACCCAGCAATATTTTAAGTACACAATTCAGTTATTATAAGTAGTAAAGCTCAAAACCTTACTGTTTTATATTGTGATCAACACCAATTGGCTAACCAATTATTAAAAATATCTTATATTTGTGATCAAAACATCACATACTAAGGTTTGCTGTAGAATTTGGACTGTAAGGAAGGTGTCAGTAGTCAAGAATAAAGTAACAAAATGGGTTATATTATATAAATATGATATTCATAAGCAGGTGACAGTGAATATTGTCAACCTGAGAAAACCATTGTCACCCGAGGCGAAGCTGAGGGAGACAATGGGTTTTTGAGGGTTGAGTCTGTGTAGCTCAGAAATGGCAGCAAACCTCGATAATGATATCTTGTTTGTTGATAGTCTGCTGTTTACAATCACTATCGCACCCGCGCTTGATAAAATTGGCTGTTGCCGTTAAACGTTCTTGTGACCATCACGGTGGGAAAACGAAGCGGTGAACGCACATTTTTCGCGCATGTGATATTTTTCACTGTCTCATGGCAATATCACCTGCGTCCCTTAAAACCAATGTATTTTCAGAGTGTGACAGAGATTTTTGATTAATTTTCTCCCAACCAATCAAATAGCTAGAAATTCACTTGAGGTGTAACAATAATAATTATGTCAGGAAAGATTCCCCGGGGAACGTATCTTTCCTATGTCAGATTCCCCGGGGAACATATCTTTCCTATGTCAGATTCCTCCGGGGAACATATCTTTCCTATGTCAGATTCACCGGGGAACATATCTTTCCTATGTCAGATTCCTCCGGAGAACATATCTTTCCTATGTCAGATTCCTCCGGAGAACATATCTTTCCTATGTCAGATTCCTCCGGGGAACATATCTTTCCTATGTCAGATTCCTCCGGGGAACATATCTTCCTATGTCAGATTCCTCCAGGGAACATTTCTTTCCTATGTCAGATTCCTCCGGGGAACATATCTTTCCTATGTCAGATCTTCGGGGAACATATCTTTCCTATGTCAGATCTTCGGGGAACATATCTTTCCTATGTCAGATTCCTCCGGGGAACATATCTTTCCTACAATGTATGTCAGATTCCTCCGGGGAACATTTCTTTCCTATGTCAGATTGTGTTGGGGAACATCATTATACAGGATTTCATTTCAAATGGCAGAACACATTTCTGCAATTTTTGCTTCTGTATGGTGACTTCATAGGGTAAAGTATGTAACACATCTAACATCTGCACCTCCTTATTTAGAGTGACAATGCATATGTTACACATGCAAATACGGCAGCGGCGACAACACTCTATCCCGAGTTGTCGTATGCTGGTCCTCGGTATACATATTCAGATATTGTCACACAAGGAAGTTGAGTTTAGGCAATTAAATACATTTGGTTAAATTGAAAAATTGTCACAACTTTCCCTGAACGCGCTACACATATTAAAAAATCCAGGCAAGTGGACTAGTATTAGTGTTGAACCCATGTTCAGTGTATTGAGATCTTTAATTAATAAGTTTGCATGCACAGTTTTTGAAGATGTCTGAGATTTAACAACCAGCTTCACAATGTTTCCATGTATTGAATTGCATATATAAACATATGAATTGAATTATATAAGGAAACATTAGAAAAATTTGAGCCTTTTTTAATCTATTAAAAGATTTTAATTTGCACTGTCAGCTTCAAATCTGCACAAATTGAAACTGATGAGTTATTAATATAAAAGGAAATTGTTTCTATATGATATATATACATGAAGGCATTTTGGCAACGTTAGAAATGTGTTTAAATACTGTGTCCGACACTGGAATTCTTATTGTTGGTTTGCTCCTCCATTTATTCAGTTAATTGTTACTGGACCAGAGTTGATGACCTTATAAATACATTATGGACGATTTGAATAAGTGTTCGTTATTACTCAAAAGTGTTGTGTAGGGAGTCTGAGTCTGCTACTTCAGTTTCAGACATCAACTCAATACT